TTCTAAATCCTCTTCTCCTTCTAAATCTTCTTCTCCTCTTAAACCCTCTTCTGAGTCCGCTAAATCAGTTCCTCTTGCGACTTGGGCCACTAGAATCAATCCCTCCAGAAAAGCTCTGAAGAGAATGTCTCACCCAAGTTATCTTGAGGATGGTACACCTAAGATAGTCATCCCCGCAAATGTCATTCGGCGAACTTCAAAAACTTGGAAAGAATTCCTTATTAGTCGGTTTTGCGGTTCAGCTCCTCCAATTTCAAAAGTCATTGTCGATCTTTCTCCCATATGGGGACGTCATTGCAGGTTAACAGTCCATCGTGCTAGTCCTACCGCCTACTTATTCCACATTCCAAACCTTTCAACTCGGCAGTGGGTTCTCGAGGTTGGTCTTTGGCAAGTTTTGAAGTGTAGCCTTGTCATGAAATATTCTCCAAGTGACACAATACAAAGCTTCAACCTCGTCTCTGCCCCAATCTGGGTTCAACTCTCCAATATCCCACCAGAGATGTTCTCAGAGGAAGCCGTTAGCTGGATTGCCAGTGGAATTGGTGACCCTATGCCTTCGAACAAATCTATTCTGGATTACTCTAAAATTGGAGAAGCCAAGCTGAAAGTGGAAGTCTTTCTTACTGATGATCTTCCTTCTGAAGTGGTCGCTGCAGACGAGGATGGGAATGAAGTCCGCATCAAAGCTACATACCCAAACATCCCTTTCAAATGCTCTATCTATCATTGCTTTGATCATGCTAACTCTCGATGCAACCAAATCTCTCGCCGTAACCAGTCTGCGGCTAAATCTGTGGCTCCATCGGCCTCAACTGATGCCCTCACTCTTAATCAATCAACCGGTAGTATCTCCCACTCCCTCGCAGAGACTCCAAATATTGCCGCTCCGACGAGTCCCCGTATTACTTATGTTGCTCCCATTGTTCCCTCCAAGGATGGACCATCCATTGCTTCACCTGATTTACAGGCATCAGTTTCAGAATCCTCTGTTGATGTAGTTGGTCAAGCCCCGTCCTCGTCCGAGTCTGATCCACCAGATGTTGACCTGCAACCTACTCTAGCAAACACATCCTTGGTCAATTCAAACCAACCATTAGTGGGCCTCTCCCCCAAGGCTTTAAACTTCTCGGACAACCCTCTAAATCCAGCAAGCCCATTTGTTCCCGAAGCCTCTTTTGTGTGCCATCCTTGTTCCCAACAAGGCCTATCTTCCAACGTTGCTTTCTCACCTCAGGTCATAGAGAAACCGAAGGAGGTTAATCTTACTCCCCCCTCCACCGACTGAGCTACTATGCCTGCTGCTTCCCCCACCATAGCTTATTTATCACCTCAAATTTCCACCCTCGACTCTACAAATACTACCTCCACTGACATCGCCTCTCTTTTGGCTACTTCACACAAGTCTTCTTCTCTTCAAGTCCCTCCAAGTCTCCTCGACCACATCCCCTTCTCCCCACCTCCTCTCCAATCAATTCCACCATCCCGAAACCAGCCCACTTCCGACGCTACTACTGACAAGGATGAAATTATAGCTACTGCCCAAAGGATCCTCCGTGCTAGAGATGGATCAGATCCATCTGACCAGCAACACACTCGCCATCTCGGTCAGCACTGCCATCGAGCAAGTCAAAACCTAAATCGCTGCCATCTTCGGGCAGTAGTGCATCTACACTTCGTCCCGGCCGGGGAAGCCGTTAAACACCTCACCTTTTTGTGTATAAAATGTATATTTTCGGATGGAATGCTCGCGGAATCAATAATAATGCTAGAAAGCAACAATTCCTTAATATTTTGCAGGACTATAGGCCTCTTATGGGGGTTCTTTTTGAAACTCACATCAAGAAAGAATCGGGTTCTACGTTTATCAATCGTCTTCTTCCAAATTGGCGTTCAGAAGATAACTTCATTGCCAATGAATCTGTTGTAACTTACCACAAATCTGATCGGATGATCGTGTGTGGTGTTTTTGTTCCTCAATTGCAACACTACTTCACTGTTTCATTTATCTACGCTTTCAATTGTCACATTAAATGCAGGTTACTTTGGCAAGAGCTTGCTGATCTTAGAGACTCTTCCCCCACCTCTTCCCGTCCATGGATCCTTGTTGGAGACTTTAACCAAATCCTTAGTCAACACGAGCACTCGTCAATTCCCCAAACTCTCGCCCCTACTAACGGCATGCAGGAGATGCGAAGTTGTTTTGAATACCTTGATATTCAAGATATTAGTGCTCGAGGTGCTCTTTACACTTGGAAAAACAACTGCCATGAAAACCCTACCCTTCGAAAGCTCGATAAAGTCATGATAAATGAGGCTTGGAGTACATACTTCCCTTCTTCCGTTGCTTTCTTCGACCCGCCTGGCTCCTCTGACCACTCTCCATGTGTCATCAACCTTGGCTTCGATGTTCCTTCAACAAAGAAGCCTTTCAAATTCTACCGACACGTAATGACTCACCCTGATTACTTATTACTGCTTGATGAGGCTTGGTCAATGCTAGGGCTCTTTGGAACGGCTCAATTCATCTTATCAAAGAAGATGGTTTCCGCAAAGAATTGTCTCAAGCTCCTGAACCGAAGACATTACAGCAACATTCAGCAACGAGTAAAAGCTTCTTTCTCTTCCTTGCAAGCTATACAAGCGCAACTACTCCTTACCCCCTCTCAACATCTTATTGATCAAGAGTCTGAAGCTAGAAGGACATATGCAATTTACTCAAATGCCGAGGAACAGTTCTTCCACCAAAGGTCTCGCATCCAATGGCTCTCCGAAGGTGACTCCAATACTAGTTTTTTCCACAAGTCTGTCTTGGCAAGACAGGCTATGAACATGATTTTTTTATCTAAGAGATGGAAATGATAGGAAAATCACTGACCCGTCACAGTACAAGCAGCTGGTTGTTTAATACTTCGAAGACTTATTGGGAACAGCAAACCCGCTCATCAATCCGGCTACAGTGGAAACCATTGGCTCTCTCCATCCTTTTTGATGTTCAACTGATCTGATTATGCAGCTTCAAGCCATCCCAACTCCTTCAGAAATCAGAGCGATTACG